GGTTTCAGATAGGAATAATAATTGTGTTCTTACAGGGTCTAGATCGCATGATAATTGCTATTTGATTGATTATATGACTTTTGACTCAGTGATACGGATTCTGGTATTATTAGAGATTGTGATGCTGATAAGGATGAGAATGTTGCTGATCAATGTAGTACGTCTGACGGATGTTCTTACACCGATCAGAATTTTGTGGCTGAAACTTGTTGTTCAGAAAAGGTGTGGATGAAGCACATTTTTCTTAAATTTGGAACTGAGGTACAAGCCATTGACCTTTTCTTTGACCTTACTTATGCGGCCAATGTTTCCAAATATTCTGTTCAACATTCTCTTAATCGTACTAGCATGCTATGCCACTTTACTAGAAATTTGGTTGATGATGGATTAATTGTTCATAAATATGTTCCAGCACATAACCTTGATGCTCAAAGATTTATCTCTGTAAGGAAATCCTTAGGGATATACATTCTCTGATTGCTTGCATGCCATTATATTATATTGTATTGTATATTAGTATATATATTATATTTGCATTGCGTGTATGCATATAGGGTATTATTTGCATTAGGCATGCCTTGCATTTTTGCATATATTTCACCACTAAGTCGTAAATGAAGTTCTGACTCTTCTGAAAGCGGGTGAGATGTTGATTGTCTTTAATTGATGGCGTGTTCTTGCATACCTTGGAACAAATATATTTCTGTCAAAAAGAGCTGCCTTCACACAATGATCTAGAGCGATAGCTAGCACATGGTTCGTTTCCTTTGGGATCAACTGTGAAAAGAGCGTCATGGACAGAAAATGTTGTGAAGGGTGGTAGCTATTGACAACTATTGCACTTCATTGTGTGGTGTTTTTACTTGGAGTTATAAGGTGGTCATCTTCATAAAAAACGTAGTGCATAATGATTTAAAAAAGAGTTCTTACACCGAGCATTGGGGCAAAGTAATGGGGTTGACTTTCACTATTGCAGTGATTGTTACTAAGTGAAAAACCTCGATGTAAATTAATGTTGTCGCTTAAAATCATTGGGCAAAGTAATGGGGTTGACTTTCACTATTGCAGTGGTTGTTACTAAGTGAAAAGCCTAGTGAATAATAAAGCTT